AAGGTTCAAAAGTTGAAGAGCGTGTCAGTAGTCTTACAGGTTTTGTTTCACCTCCTTACAGTGTTTGTCCAAAAATATGCATGTATATTTATGTGCTTTCGTATAAAAGAGGAGCAAATTTAGTTCTTTACTTTGTCGTAGGATTTTGTCATTGCTCTGGAAACATACTTCTCATGTTGATCGACGTTACAGGGGCTTACACATTTGTGTGGCTAATTTGTGTTAATGTAACGGCTGAAATTTGAAAGATATCTCTACTTTGTGTTCAAATTCAAATTCAAATTTCTTTTTTTTTTTTTTTTGGGTTTGGATAGTATGCGCATGATCTAAGCTAAAGATAAAAAAAGTTCATTTCATTTGGCTTTTGATAGACTAAGCCAAGTTCTGAATTAGGAAGTTATAATTTTGTATTAGGATTTAGGTTAAGCAGTTATGTTTACTAGTTTCGGATTAAGCCGTTAGATGTTACCGTGTGACAATTATAGTGGTGATATATACGTTGTGTGTCAGACTTGTAGAAGCTAATTAAGATGTCAGATTGCTATTTCTGGTGTTTTGAAGGAGGAAACTCATTGTTAGGGGGGAAACCTGCGTTTGTATTAAAATTTAGCCTAAAAATGAATTATTTTTTATAATTTATTCAGAATTCAGTGTGTTTGTTTCTATAGTTCAACAACTTCTGGTTTATCTGGGGATTCTTTTGCATTATACAATATATATTCTAAAGAGAACCAGACTACTTTTTACCGAATTTGTAGAATATTTTATTCTAATTGACATTAGCTTGCTAAATCCTAACTCAGTGTGTAACTGTTTGTTCTTCTGCTCGATATTAGGAACTTCACTGTCCAATCAACTGAAATATAAAGAACAAGCATTTGATGAAAAGTTTGAGAAAATTTTCAATTTAGCTGAGAAGGTACTAAGTTTATTGTCCTTTGACGTGTATTTTTTTTAGCTATCTCATATTGAACGATTTATTCTTCTTGTTTCGTCCTTGGATGCGTTATGAATCTCCAAAGTTTCATTTGATTGAATAAAATCATTGAGAAGTTTATTAGAAAAAAACATAATCTATCATAGAAATGGATTTCCAGGTAGATCCAGAATCCATATCTGTTGGTAAGGCTGCTGTGGGAAACTTAATCGGTGGCATCGGTTACTTCTATGGCCAGTCAAAAATTGCTCTTTCAGGAATCCTTAATGTAAGTTACTGTAGTAGTTTAGTTTGTTATTTATATCTATTATTTGAAGAGTATGCCTATGCCAGCCCTTAACAGCATATAACTTGACATATGATCGTAACTTTTCGTGGGTTTTATTTTCCTGGTTGTGAAAAAGAAATTTCACAGGTAAGAGAAAAAATTGCAAGAATAGAGTATTGTTAACCAATAAAGAGAAGTCTGACTAAATTGAAAATTTCTTCAGTCTCTTACAGAAATGAATTCATGCTTAAAGAAAAACCAAGACAAGCTAATTAATTAGCAAATCATTCTGTAGATCACAAAGAAATCACTTTGAAACAACTATTATCTGAACATATAATGGATAAAAAGAGTGAGACTAATTTATCCCAAAGCCAGCATAAAAATTTATCTTCGAAATTTGTCGCATACACCTCTAACTATAAGTACCAAATAACAGCGTACGTAGTACACTGCCAAAGTGCCGACCCTCTTTACCCTTTCTCCCATAACCCTCAAATTAGAGTCAACAACATATGGGAAAATGTTCTAAGACCTTTGTACATATTCAAGATTTTCCAGAAGTACAAATATTACACTGCAAACATCAAACTACTGAACACATTATACACAATTGGAGAAGGATTTTAATCATGTATGTGAACCTGCAATATATCGTTTGTGCTAGCTTTTTATTTTATCAAAATCCTAAATTTTTCCTCCAAAGATTATGGTATTACCATAATTTTTGCTACCAAGTTAGCTCTTAAATATCTAATCTGTCACTATATTCATTTTTACAAAGGATTAAAATGCTGACACAAAAGATGATTTTGGCAATTGTTTTCTGTTGTTTTAAGTGGATTGTTTCCCTTTTCAGCTTAGGGAACATGTTAATTATATATCATATTGGCCTGCTGAGCTTTACACAGCTGTACCATGTCGACCTTCCTTTCCAAGAGGATTTTTATGGGATGAAGGTTTTCATCAACTTATAATCTGGTTAGTTTCTTGTGCTAATAATATCCTTCAATCTTCATGACCACCATCACGACTATCATCATTATCATTTGTCTTGTTGAAATTCATTTTAAGTGCAGATAAATGCTTCATTTTCTCGACTGCACAAGACTTAGTGGTATTATTTAACAAACAAATAATCTGTGATCTGTAAATTATTTTTTTTGCACCTGTGCTCATTAACCAGGCGTTGGGATATCCATATTTCATTGGATATTATTGGACACTGGTTAGATTTGATGAATGCTGATGGATGGATACCGCGTGAACAAATTCTCGGGGCAGAAGCACTGAGGTGTACTACAAAACATTTTATTCAAATAATTGCACCAAGTTTTTAGCTGGCTTACTGATGTAGATTCCTTTGCACTTGCAGTCGGGTTCCAGAGGAATATGTTCCTCAGCATCCAACAAATGGAAATCCTCCAACTCTGTTTTTAGCATTAAATGGTATATGTTAATGTTCCTTTTCTATTTCCCCTTTTTATATTATCCTTTTTTTTTTTTTTTTTTTTTTTTTTTTTTTTTTTTTTTTTTT